AAAAAAAAACCTGACAACACAACTATTTTACAAATACTGCAAAACACCTTTTCTGTTCCTTTTTCCCAATTTCCGCCCAACAATTATTTTTTTGCAATAAGCAAAATCAAATGACTAAAAACTGTTGAATTGTGAATTGTGAACAATGTCTTGTCGTTGGACATACAGTTTGGTACTGTTGTTTTCAAAAACAGAGATTATCAAAAAACAGATAAAAAAGTTAAAAGGTGGTGGCGGTGTTATTGCTGATAATTCTTTCTTCCTTTCTGTTTAACTTTTTCTATACTTTTCACAAAAAAAAAAAAAATTTTTTTTTTCTCTGAGGTCAAATTCAAATTCAGAAAAAAAAAAAGAAAACGTAAACAACAATACAGACAAATAACTACAGATAATATATAAAATACAAACAAAAAATTTACAGATTAAAAATAAAAAACAAGAACAAAAAAAAAAGGACGAAGACAGACAAAAGATATGGCAAATGAACAATAAACAAATAGATAAAACAGTTACTTTAAAGTAACTTAACTTAACTTAAGATTAACAGAAAACAAAAAGAGGCGCTATTTATTGTTAATTATCAAATATAATCACTTACGAACAAAAAAAAAAAACTTGTCTTTTATTTATATTCTATTCTGCTTTTCTTTTTTTTTTAGCTTAGCAGCAAAACTGTGAAAAAGTATTGGGCAGCAGACATCAAAATTACAATGCAAATTAATGCACCTAACGAGGAATGTTTTTTTTGCAAACTTTAAAAATGTGGCAATATCAAAAAATAAATTAAAACTGATATAATGAGAAAAAAAAAACAATTCGTAACAAGTGAAAAAAAAAGGAAAACTTACATCAACAGAACAAATACAGAACAAAACAGTTTTTGTGTTGTTGTTTTCTGTTTCCTTTGATACCGAAAAATCTTATGATATTTTTTTTCTTACATTGAAAACCCCAAAATACATTTGTTTTGTTGGTAGCACCCAAACACAACAAAAATTGATGATAACCAAATATCAAGATCAAAAATTTTTTTTTTGCACACACACAAAAAACAAAAAAAACGAACTATTTTTGGCAATTTATTTGACACTTAGTGAAAATATGGAAGAAAACCTGGTTCAACAGAACTTAGCTTGTACACTGTTTCCAGTTCACACTTCTTCTGCTGTTCTTTAATATGCCGTAATTTATCGTTGTATCGATGCGATAATTGTGATTCATTGACCAATTTTTTGCACCTAAAATCAAGCGTAAATAAAAAGAGGTTTAAAAAAAGTAAAATTAGTACTTTATTTAACTTTTTTTTTTTGATAATGGCTTATCAAAAAGATAATAGCGAAGTTATCCAAAAAGTTCGGAGACTAACAACTTACTACTGCTACAGTTTAAAACTTACGGATGATATCCCGGACAACAATTTTTGGCTTCATCACATTTTTTTTTTGCAAATTTAATCTTCAACAAACAGGAATCAAAATCTTTCTCTGCTACTTTTTCGGCGGCATTCTTTAGACTGTTTTCAAAAGAAATTTCTTCAAATATTATATCAGTTGAAATTGCCAAGCATGCTTCCCTCTGCAAATACAGGTACTATACATCAACAAATTTACCATAATACAAATTATACGTTTGAAGAATAATTTTTCTAATAGTAAGACAAAAGTAACAACTTGTTTTACGGTCCACAAACGATACAGCTGTAAAAATGTAAATAAGTTTATTAGACGATGTAAAAAAGCAAGAGCAATTTAATTGTTGTTGTGCTAACCTCGTCCGACTTTATCGTTTTTCTAAAGAATGATGATTTTCTTGTGCATATTGAATGTTTTATGTTCATTTCATTAAAGAATGTTGTAAGCTGCAAATGTACAGTTAAATTGGGGTTTTTTTTGCATCTGCTAAACCGGTTGCTGTAAGTTAATATTAAAAAAAAAGAAGAGTTTGACAATTACGTTGTTAAGAAAGATAAACTAGCAAAAAAAAGAGCAAAGACTCATTAAAATAAGGGTTATTTTTTCATTGATAGTATAAGGCAGTTTTGCGGCTTACAGAATTTGTATGGTTGACCAACAGTGGATGTACACAAGCTTTTCGGACAGCTGATGAAGCTCCTGTTTCTTCAAGATTTTGCAGCAATTCTCTTAACAGTACCAAATCTGCATAAGCTGCAATAAGTTGATATTATTATCAGCACAAAAAGTTTAAAAATAAAACACAAAATAAATAGTTGTTTCAAAATCTTTAACGTCAGAAACAAATACTATAAAGTAGTTGTCAAAAAAAAAAAAAAAGAGACAAACTTGGTCGAGATATGGGGTTTTTAAGTTCGTCAATATGTTTCTTGCCACATTCCAACTTAAATTCTTGTAACTTTTTCTCACATTTTAATGCTTCAAGACAAAGTTTCTTATTTTCTGCCTAAATTTTAACACTAACATCAAAAACAAATTTAGAGATAAATTTTTTTCTTTGACTTCTAAAATTTTTCAACAATTTTCATATTCTACATTTTTATTCGAACTTTAGAAGAAACTATACGCTAAAAAGCGGTTCAAATACTTTAATAAAAAAAAAAAAAAAAAGTTGTTGATGAGCAATTTACATCAGATCACTTACTTCAGTTAATCTTAATTTTTTTGGAGAATTAACAAAACTGTCATCTAGGAAACCGTCAAAAAGTGTTGCATTGATGTTGTTGTTTTTTATGTTGTCTTCATGCATTTCTTCTGCTTCTGCTGCTGATACCATTGTTACCGTTTCCATTACTGCTGCTGTTGTTGTTGTTGCTGCCGTTGTCGTTGTTGTTGTTGATGTTGCTGCTGCTGATGATGCTGCTACAGTTTCTTCTGATCCTACCTCTGCTTCTGGTACTATTTCATCTGTTACACCGTTATTCGTTGCTGTTGTTTTGGCAGTTGTGTCAGTGGTAGGAGCAGAAGTAGTACTGGTTAAAGCTGGAAAGAATACCTGAAAAATTTGAAGCAGTATTTTATTTTTTAATTCTTTTATGCTTGCTAGAAATTTATTTAGCATTATTTATTAGCAATGAAAAAGCTTTGCTTTTGTAACAATAGGAGTAGTTGCATTTTTTTGAAAAAGGTTTTTTCAGTTTTTTAAAAGGTTTTGTTGCCTACTGACATGAAGCAAATTTGGAAGTGTTGGTAACGTTGGTATTGTTGGCAACGTCGGCAATGCTGTTGTTTGTGTTGCTGTAATAATACTTGTTGTCGGTGGAGATATGAGATGTTGAACATCTAAACTTAAAATTTACACTTTTGTTTTTTTAAATAATGTAATCAGCAAATTTATGTAGTCATAAAACAAAGATTTGATTATAACAAAAAAAAAAAGTTGTTGCTTTAATTGAACTTAAAATTTTTTACTTTTTTTTTTAGCAGAACTAAATAAAACAAAATTAACAATAGGTTTTCTTAGAAAAGAATGGTAATGCAAAAACTGTTTCAATTGCTAAATTTTTCAGCTAAACATTTAATCACTGTTCAAACACAGAATAACAGTGATTAAGTTTCAAACAAAAAAAAGAAGAAGAAAGCGTCGGTTAAACAGTTCAAATGTTATTGAAATATTGCTTTTATTGCATCGAATTTCAACAGTATAACAACAGAACAGTGAGGAAAAAAAAAACAGAAAAAGGAATTGAATAATAACTCGAAAAAAACAGCAAATCATTTTTTCTTTTCTAAAATAACACATTTTAAATAATGCTAAATTAGTAACTGAAAAAAAAAAAAGTAGACAGAGAAGAATAAAAAATGAAAGAAAAAAAAATGAAAGAACAAAATATTTTATAAACCAGATTTTGGCGAATGGAAACCAATATCTTTAAAGTCACTGTCTAGCGCAGCTTCTGCTCGAGCCTCCAGAATCGCTTCCTCAATTCTTTTCTGTTGTTCAGACACTGATTTTCTGAGGGATAGAACTGAATCGACATCATTATCCTTCAACAAACAGATACATCGAATTTGGAAAAAAAAAATTCATCTTTGACATTCTAACCGTACAGATGCTAATTTAGCTTACAGTAGTAACTCACAGTTTGCATTTTTTGTTTCTTTGGATTATCGTATCGTTTATTTGCACCTTCTAAACATTTTTTTACTGCAACACTGATTGTACGACTACGTTGAAGACGCTGTTGAAAAGCCAACGAGTTACTTGTGATTTTAGACATACAACTAAAAATAAAAAAAAAAAAAAAAAGACAGAAATAAAAAACTGTATTATCAAAAGCGATCTTGTTAAGTCTTCCTTGGTTCAATTTTTTCTGTTTGTTTAATTTGTGCTTAGTCAATTAATTAAGAATTATAATTACTGAAGAACTTATTGAGTAGACAGCTGATGTTTTTTGACAATCTCTTCTTCAAAACTATAATAAAAAAAAATTTGCTTACCTATGCATTTGTGGGCAACAGCCAAGCAAGAAAGAGCATCGTTCTGTCTGATATGAATACAGCTCTCGACAATGACTTGGCTTTTGCACAACACCTTTAGCTAGATCTTGCAATGACCAAGTTACTGGTGTTGCCATGCAAGCCAACTTCTGTAAGTTGTCTAACTAACAGTTGATAGCGGACAACAGTGTCTAAACTAAACCAAAAATACCATTTGTTAAATGTTATTAACTAACCCTCATATCACTAACTTTTCCGTTTTCATTTTCTTCTGCACATTTCAGAATATCATCTTCTTCAACATGCCGAATTGCCTAAAATTTTTGTTTGAATCTTCTTTGTTTTCTGAATAAAATTGACGATAAAAGTAAAAAACAAAAATATTACTTCAAGAACTTATTTCTTGTGGACATACAGTTTGCACTGCTTAGTTACTATAAATCTAAAAACTACAATTCACTATTTCAACGGTGACAATTGAACATCTCACTTTATATTCCATTATTTTAGCAAAATTTTGATTTTCGCATTCTGCAACTGCGCCTGAATGCTTCAATAACGAATCGGTGTTATTGTCGCTGTTGTAGTCACCAATAATCGCTGCTGAAACTCCTCCAACACAGAGTTCGTAGTCGTTTCTGGCAGTCAAAATACACGAACGATAACGATGACAATGAGACTGTAAAAAAGAGCAAAAAAGAAAAAAACTGCTGAAGCTGATTACAGTTTTTATGAATTGTTAAAAAATTTTAATTTTTGTTTTTTTAATGTTTTTTAAAAACTAAAGTAAATAAAAGAAACTGTTTATAATAAGAAAAGGAGAACGTAAGTATTTATGAATATAGAAGACGAACTACGCCAAACGCTGATACAGAATCAAGTAAAAATATGGCTGCTACTATGATTATACTTCTCGAATTCTTCATCTTGCGATTCTACTGAGTGCTAAAAAAAAAAAACCAAATTTATCAAATATAATAATTTAATTAAAACTGTCAAAAGAACCGAATATCAATAAAAACGGGGTTTTTTTCTGCTTCCTCAGTGTCTTCTACTTCCCCCTCTCTTCCC